TTCTCTTCGCTCAATACCACTCAAGATCAGATGGCCGGTCAGAAAAGATCAGCAACAGAGAGGGATCTCTGGCAATGAGCGAACCAACCCAGCAGGAACCGATTGTGAAACAAATAGGCAGGAAGAAATGGAGATGGATTGGCTGGCCATACTCTGAGGGAACCAACAAGTGACATCACTAAACAAGCCGTTGCTCTAGTGGAACCTGACTGTATTGGAAGCGGCGAGTTGGTCGTCGCTCCAAGGGTGACTTGGAGGAGGTCATGTGAAGAGGAGATGAAGGTGTGTGGGCAGACTTGGAGCCAGGTGAAGACTCTAGCAGAGAACCGAACGCAATGGAGACGCATGGCTGAAGCCCTATGTTTCTCTAGGAAATAAAGGAAAAAATAATAATAATGATAATTACGAAATGCGCTACATATCATAGAAGTATTTCATTAATTTCCAGTTAATATCATCTATGCTTGAACTTTGATGAACTCCATGCAATTTGTTTGTTTTCTTCAATGTCTTTAGATCTCATTTCTAAAACTGAGTGCATTTGGGTGTAAATTTTAGGTTTATGGATACTATCGAATCTTATATATATATATATATATTCTTTTGCGTTCCCATTAGAACACTGGGCTGTAAGCTGGAGCTTTGAAGTTCCATTAGCAGAGGTGGTGTGTTTTGCGGGATGAGGTGCTAAACTCACTTTCCCCTTTTTCCTGGCTTATTACTAGGTAGGTGTGGTTAGGGAATACGTCGGCCAGGAATCGAACGCTGACGACGTACGTGACAGGCGAGTACATTTGTCTTCAGTTTCAACTCAGTTACTCAGATCAAACATTCCACCAGTAGGCTATGAGCCACGAATATTTTAGTCAGAGCTAACGATACTACTCAATTACGCAGACTGAAGCAATCCGGGAAGGACTCGGACCAGGTATCCATTCGCTGTAAATCAAGCGCCACAAAAGCCACATTTCTACTTCAGTGGTGCAGAGAGAAACGTCACGACTAATGAATAATTACCAGTGTCGTGTTTTCCGATGCTTAAAAATGACTTGTATGATGTTATAGCTATCACTGTTTCCTTACAGATTGTTTCTGCATGCTTCCCTTTCTACACCTATTAAATATTGAGGCAAAAAGGCTACTCTCTCTTCATTTTGTTTTCAATTTTTTAATCAATAGTTCGTACCGTCAAGAGTTAAGTGATAATTTAATAATTATTTCTTTATTTTAGTAATTAACCTGTTGATCAAACAAATATTCGCATGTTTAGATCCTATTTTGTCTATATTATACCAACATTCGGAACATCAGTTGCAATAAAATTCTAGCATGTTTTATATACTTTTGTCAACAGAAACGAATAAATTTTCAAGCATTGGTCTCTGTAGGAATTTTGTTTGACTGCTTTGAGGATTTTATCAGTTAGAGAACCATCGGAAAACCTGATGCTCACTAGCGACTGATCATATTCAGGCAGTTAACCTGGGAAGCCGTGACCAGCGGGGTACAGCAGATTGAAGTTGAGGCAGTAACTCATCGAAGAAGATATTGCGAAGTGGTCGCGCTATGTCATGAATTGGTAGAAGTTAGGATTTATGGGCCATTGGGTTCAAACCTTGGCAGTGGCTGCGTACTGATGAAGAGTCCCAAACTAGTGTGGCGAAACAGCTGTCCAGTACTCCCTGCAGGTTTTCCAATGGTTCTCTAACTGATGTCAGCTTATGATGAAATCCTCCAACCAAAAAACAATGAATTACTTTTCTTTGTAAAACAAATTCCTTTCTAGCCTTCTTATTTTCCCCATGACCTTATCCTCTTCTATCTGTGACTTTGTTATTTGCATGGAAGACCTGTTGACAAAAATATGTGCGCAACGTGTAAAGAAGAATGGAAACCATGTCACAAGTTAACTTTTCTGATATTATCACTATTATTAATCCCTTGGATTCTGATTGGAACATAGGACTTCAGCAACACGTCGGCATTTTATTCTATTCTCTGCTGTCTTTTTTAGCCGGTTTCATTATAGCCCATAAACTTTCGTCTCCGCTTCACATGATCTCACCCATGTCATCCTCCGATCAAAAGCAGACTCATCGTTTCCCATTCTGGTCCCACTCCAGGATCTTCATGACACGTGCTAGACTGTAAAAGTAAACAAAAACTAGATGGAAGTTTAGATGCTAATGTTTATAAGACATCATCACGTTTTAATAACTATTTAGACTTTGAATCGTTCTGTCTAGAATCAGTATTGGTGGATTTAGTCAAATGTTTATACAACAGAGTTACGGATCTGACAGGTGAGTTAGGAAATTTGAGTAGAGAAATCAACGGAATTAGGGAAACATGACTGAATCAACACCCAGTCGAATTCATTCAAAGATGTATTGAAACCGGTGAGAAAAACAGAAGTAGTGATATGAATAGTAGAAATAATATATGCGACAAAGAATTCATAGCCCCTGTAATACTAGTGGAAAAGGAAGGAGCATTGGAGTACCTATGTTGAATTCTCAATGTGGCTGGAATTAGGATGGCATGTCAATCACCTAGTTCACTCAGAGATAAATTTCGTCTAATTAAGGATCCAACAGATCCGTTCAGACAAAATCATATGATAAGCTAAATATCATGTGTAGTCAGCAGGAATTTAGCTAGACCTAGAATAACTAACCCTGATTAGTCACATAATGTATAAAAATTCTCAGTCACTCCAGTGTATTCATTTATGTGCAATCAACCAATAGGGTAGGATAGGGAATAAGTATTCAAAAGTGTCGTAGGTGACCCGGGTTTGAATCTCAGAAGGGATATGAGTTCCTTCAAGATTGATAACACGCCTTGCTGACGAGTCCGAAGCTTCCCAACAGACCTACTCTAACCACCTAGTAACAACAATTCATGGTGCACCGTAATGGCGAGCCACCTAACATGATGATGACCACATTTCAGACTTGACTGGTAGAATTCAGTCTGTGTACCAAACGAAGGACTAGACATGCGACATTAGTTACTACTTGGTGTTCAGTCAAAGTAAAAGAAAGGTAATATAGTTAGGTGGGAAGATAAGTTTTCCCCGAGTCTTAGTTCTTCGTATAGACACCAAACATGTACAGTAGGAATGAATCGATATCTATCCTTGATATATCGAAAATTGTATTAAAAAACAGGTATGAGCAATCAATATGGCCTTAGAAGAAGTTAAAAAAGAATTAACTGCAGACCCTGAACTCACTTATGGGACGAAACTACCCAATGATGAAATTATGTTAGGAATTCAGTTGTGCCTCACATGTACTATCTTTAAATTCCAAGGCAAAATATATAGACAAACTGAAGGTGTAGCAATGGGATCACCAATATCCCTTATCGTAGCAGATATATTTATGGATAGCTGGGAAAATATGGCACTTAATACGTTTAATCCTACTCCAAAAGTATGGTGGAGATATGTGGATGACACTTTCACAGTGTTAAAAACAGAACATATCTCTAGCTTCTTGACACACATAAACTCACTAGTGGAGGGAATAAAATTCACATTTGAAGCCGAAAATGAACAAGGAGAATTAGCTATGCTAGATTGTAAAATAAAACGAATAGAAGAAGGCAAACTACACACTAGGCTTTATAGAAAACCAACGCATTCTAATAGATATTTAGACTTTAAATCATCTCATCCTTTAACTGTAAAGGCAGGCTTAGTTAAGTGTTTAATAAACGGAGCAATGGCACTAAGTAGCACGAAAAAGACCTAAATGATGACATAAAACAGATAGAAGAGGCGTTGGTGTTAAATAACTATCCTATAAAATTCATTAGGAAGATTGGAAAACGCCAAAAGAAAAAGAAAAATAATTATGAAACTAGTAATAAGAACATAAATAAGAGAGAATATAAGTCATCTACAGTTATACCATATAAAGAGGGGACATCTGAGACCCTACGTAGGATTCTAAATAAAGCAGGAATTAGGGTGGCATTGAAACCTACAAACTCACTCAGGTAGGACAAGCTCTGTAGGTTAAAGGACCCTGTCGGTTGACCCAATTAGACAAAATAATATAATTTACAAAATACCCTGCAATGACTGTGAGGTCAACTATATAGGTCACACTAGTAGGTCAGGGATAGTCAGATTATCAGAACATAAGAATTTAGCTGAGGTAAGAATGGTTGACCCAGAGAAGATAAGTAATTTAGAAAAAAGCTCAGCAATTGCACTGCATGCATTAACACACAACCACAAAATAGGGTGCGAGAGGGTAAAATTCTAAGTTATATAGGTAGGTGGAGATAGAGAGAGGTTGATTACTGAATCCTTGTTCATCGAATCTACACCCAACACATGCAATAGGAATGATTCATCACTCATACCTGAAATATGGAAAATATTACTACCAGTCAAATCAAGTGAAAAGCAATGGAACTATATAAATGAATTTAGGAAGTCGTGTGATTACCTTGATATGATTATGAGCAGCAATAAATTGTGCTCGAAACGTCACCAGTAAACATTACTGTATAACACTGTGAGACTTTATCAAAACAAAATTTACCCATAAAGGAATGAGCAAGACTGAATGAAGCAAGTTAGAAAGTCATGTGAACACAATGATATGGCTATGAGCAATGAATTCTCCTAGAAACGTCATTAAACTCTACCACTGTGGATCATATCTAACAAACTCATCTGATATCGAACGCTTAGGTCTGTCTTAAGGCGGCGTAATTTCATTCCATCATAGAAGTTTAATTAGATATACTGCTAACCAATAATGTCTAGCAGCACTATACTACTTACTACTAAAAGTAGTTGAGTTCATTTTCGTGAATTATTTTGATTATACTAAAGCTGATCAGTTTGAAAATAAACCTTCCAGATTGGTTACTTTTATTTAACATTGAAGAAAAGAAAGTGGGTCACGCTTTCTTTTATTGGTTGGCGGATAATTATGATGAGCTGTTCAGGAGTTGATAACTTCTGATTTTATAGTTTTTTATTTAATTTTCTTTTTCCTGCAAATGAATTATTATTCTCAGTTAGATTTTCTTATTATTCTCAAAAACATTTGAACAATTAACTGTCCAGCACAGTCAGAACAGATAAGTGGGAATAATGCGTCATCTCATGGAGATATTAATCTCGCAAGTCTAACATAACTTTAACAAAATAAAGAGTTATAAAATGTTCTCAGATTAACGCTTGTCATACGACAAAACAGTATAATATAAAACAGGAATTAGTAAAAAAAATAATTAAAATAAATAATTCAATGGATTCATTATATTTATTAAAAAGAAAATTTATCCAATCGAATAAAATATATCTTTGGTGGATTATACTACTTATACTGTGTAAAGTTACTACTTTAATCTATATTGAAAGTAGTGCATTTCAAACGCATTCAGTTTATTGGGATCCAGATAATATCATGTAAGTTTATTAAAAAAATATTTTCATTTTTATTACTATTTATTAAAATGTTTCTGTATTATTATCTACTCTCCACGACTGCCTCATCCTCTTCCCACACGATCTCCTCCATGTCACTCTGGGACGACCCACTTGTTGTTGTTTTCTACTCGAGTTCTACTCAAGGGCTTACCGAGCAATGTTACTCAATAGTCTTCTCAGTATGTATCCCATCCGTCTCGATTTCCTTCAATATATTTGCTGAACAATACGTTCTTAAATCGATATTTGTCGGAGTTCTTTGTTGTTTATCCTTTCTGGTCAACCATCTGATCCCTCGCACCGAGCTTTTGGTGCAAAGTCTCTAAAGCATTTGGAAGTGACTTAACATTGGTGTTGAAAATCCAAATTTTGATCTTCATGTTGAGCACAGCAGATTTCCAGGTGGATTTCAGATTAATAAAGGTGTCTGTCTTGCCTTTTTTGATCCTGACAGCTCTTGACATCCCCATCTGTGCAGCCTGTAGTTGAAATGGTGCCCCCTAGATTAGTGAAGGAATTAACCTCTTTCAAATTTCTTCCGTTGATAATGACTGGTGCATGTTGGCGCTGTTGCTATCAGTGAGGTATCTTCATCACATCTTTCTTCTCTATATTCACCTGAAGTCCTGCCTTCTCTTCATGCCCTTTTGTTTTCCCCTATAGATCTTTGACTTTGTGTGACATTGGACCTAAATTATCTGTAAAGTCTAGGTCTTCAGTAGTAATCTCATCGGTCCAATGTATTCCTGCCTTCTCAACCCCCCGTCCCCCCAGTCTGCCATGTCATCCAGTCCACCACAACCAGTAACACCATCGGTGATAGTAGACAGCCTTATCTTACTTCTATCTACACTTCAAAGGCTTCTCTAGTTTTTCCGTTGTGAATCACTTGACATGTCGCACTGTCATACAGCCACTGAATGAGGTAGGATGCATCATTTCGATTTTATTTAAGAAAAACTACGGATAGTTTATATATATATATATATATGCAGCTGGTTTAATTACGATAAATTTTTGGCTGTACTGTATGCAACGTAACTAATCCTGCACAATGCTTTTCAAGGCTTTTATATTAACTTTAATTATTCATTACTTAAGGAGGACTGATTATGTAATAATTACAACATTATATTAAAGGATTACTCAATTCACATTATGTATAGCTTCTTTACAAATCTGTAACGTCAGTAGCACTCTCTCAAGCACTTTGGATTGGCCAGGATTAACGTTGACTATATCGCCATTGGGGATTAAGGGGAGTTTAACAACTGTTTCAGGCTTCTTACTAGTGCCCAACTCATAACTCTACACTTGGTTCATTCGAAGACAGCTGGTTGTCATAGGAGATGTTTAATTGCTGTAACACTAGATCAAAATTTCATAGTTTACACTTTCAACCATCTGGATGTTCATGGTATAGACTGTCTGTTCAACACCCTTGACTTTGTGGCTGAAAGTGTAATGTTGCATATTTCTTTTCATCTTTGCGCTATGAGTGCAACGTCCTAAGCATCGTAAGCTAAGATGCAAAAGGTTTTAAGTCCATAATAGCTGTTAGTAAGAACAACAGTGATCAAACCGAGGAGCCCTACACACTTGGTAATAAGCAGACTTTTGTTAATATTAAGTTTCTGAGACAAATTAAGTGGAAAAAGGTTTCAGAAGGGTATTGACAAGAAGAATCCTACTAAGTGACACTTTATATCAAGGTATAATCCACTACAAAGTAAATTAGTTTGAGGTTAGAAAAATAGTGACAGCATCATAAGTCTGGCTGAAAAATTTCATTTGACGCTTCTCACTGCCCTGTGACTTTGTTCGAGCGAATAAAACACTCTTCGTATACATTACATTTCACCAAGGCATAAACGATTAATATTAAGGTAATTATTAAGAGGGATTGACAGCTGGTTGGTAGCAGGTGATCACCATTCAGCTTTCGTCAACTTGTTTCGTTGTGACTTGCAGCTCTTCAGTCCTATATACCCCAAAGTTACCCGTATTAAGCCAATTTATGACATATACTGACTACCATCTAATGTCGTAAGAGAACATCTTACCAGATATTCAACTTATCCGTCATCATTGGTTATGCTATCATCCTCCGGTTCTCAGTGTAAATCGCCTGGTTTAGTTAGACTATTAACTGTTCTGGTCAAGTCAATAATCACACTTAACAATTTGCTTTTATATATTTTATTCACACGGAAAATAAATGAGAAATTAAACTGAAGTGTTTCTGTAAGGTTCTTGAGTTGAATGTGGCTGGCAGTGGAATTCAGGACTAGGTTTCATCCTATTTGGTAGCCGTCATCTGAATGTACCTATATCTCAAAAACTGATGTTGTTTCAACTGAAACTGCAATGCAGAATCCATTGTTTTGAATGCCAAAAAGTTGTCTACTAGGTTAGTGAGTCCATAAAGTCACCTTTTGTGAAACGTGCATAAAATTCTGTGTATTGAAATAATTTTTAAAGAACTTCAGGCTGACTGATTTCAATAAACCGAAATTTTTAACTCTCGATGTGTTGGCTGTTTGTACAAACGTTTCAACGATGCTTTGGGGTTAATTTGACTTTGTTTGCTTGACAGTGGCTTGCAGTAAAATCTACCAAAATGAATCAAGGGGGAATTCAAAGAAAAAAGTACTTCCAATAAGGATTTCTATAAAAGTTATATTTATTGAGAAATAAATTCACCACATCTCTCTCTCTCCTTAAGAATAATTTTTATAAATATTATGACTACTGTGAAAAGTAGATTCATCTCAAGATGGATTTTTACGAAGAATCGCGATTAGACTGAGAATCACTGAAAACCAAAAGATACCGGATATATGTTTCATCTCGTTTCGGGACTCTTTAGCAGTTAGCATAGGACATAAAGCTATTAGTTAACGAAATGAACATCTCACAACTCTTTTCTCAACAATTCATAATCTCTGACACCTTCTGATTCGCAGCAAAACAGCTTCTTCATCTAATATCATTGTTTATGGAGTACATGAAATCTGGCTTAAGGATGAATGAGTTATTATGAATGGCATCTAACAACCAGATTTCAGCCCATTAGATGAACAGTTATGTACAAACCTTAAAACTTGATGGACATGAACCCTTTTTCTGGTGCAACTTCAGCTGTTCACTTCTAAGTGGTTAAAATCCATTATGATAGACAGGTGATACTGAAAAATTGCTAAAAATTAATTTTGCTTAGCAAACATTATCAGGAATAGTAAACAGAAAAAAGGTACGACTCATGGGTTGGATTCCTCTTATGCAACAGATATTTTTTGTAGATCACCACAAATAGATAATAATTCCTAATGTTTATTAGAAATCAGTTTTTACTAATTAAACTGTCAGTTGACTTCAGAATCATTGAAATTTTGGAGGGATCGTAAACTGTCATGAGTATATAAATAAGTCTCAAACACACACATGATGATCCAGTTCAGTTTTTGAAAGGTTTGTAATTGCAAGGGTCAAAACCTCAAGTGATGCATTGAGGTACTTGTCAGGTTTACTTATTTGTGTTATAGAAACTTTCAATACAATACTGACCCTTAAACATTTTTAATTAAGTATGCTACAGTTCAGTTTATCGTGAACTTGCTGACGAAATTCTTTTCTCTATAAGTACGATCATAGTTTTATTGTTAATTGCGTGTATTTTTGTTACAAGAGCATCTTTCAGTACGTGAGATATACACAGGTGTATTTAGGCTGCCCAATTGATGCCCAGATATTGCCCTGTGTTTAATTTTGATGCTATTTACTTCAAGTTTTCAATAAGTAGAATTCAAATAAAAAGCCTAACGTTGTTTATACCACGAGACCAAAGCATACTTGTCGAATTACTCCCAAATAGATGAAACGCACGCATCGATTCAGTTGCTAGTCACTACGGAGTGAATTTATTTATTGATTTTATTTTATTCCTTTGCGTTCCAAGTGGAATATTGGGCTTCAAGCTTTGAGGCTCCAATAGCATTGGTGTTGTTTTTAAGAGTTATGGTTGCTAATTTCACATTCAGCTTTCCCTCTTTACCCGGTTTGATGCCGACAAAGCGGGTTTTAGGAGTGAGTCGGCTAGGGATCGACCCCGAAACACGTGGATAGGTGGAAGGCACCCTTCCTCTGAACTACCGACCTAGTAAATAATTTTGCTTAATTTACAGACCACATTTGCATTTATGAGGCATGAAATTCAACATTGTTTTCAATAACATTTCCCTAATTACCTGAAGGTACGCATTAACTGAACCCCAGTGGGATATCGAGACGTAAGAAGCTCTGAGCAGGCCACAAAATCTCAACAAGTAAAGTAAATTCCTATAGTTGTGCTGTTTGAGCCAATATTAAGTACAACTCCGATTACCGAAAGTGGAATGTAACATATTACTTTTGGTACGATTCTGCAGATACAGGAGGTCATAGAAAACGCATGTATCATGTTCTCTTTATTATTTATTTGAAGCAGTTCGTTTAATTTGGAACTGTCAATGAATTTTACTGCACACTCGTATACCACACTAGTAAGTATTCTCAAGGACTAAATAATCTATTCAGCGTGCTATTACAGGCTTTTAAAATACTAGTTATTACAGTTCTCTGTTGGAGAACTGCTGGAGAAAAATTTCATCTCTTATGTGGACTCTGCACATACTTCGATTCCAAACAAAATGCATAATAAAATTCTAATGCGTCTTACCTTTCGTTAGTGTTTCGGGTTACTCACAAGTAGCCCATTTTTGCCAGTAAAAATCGGATATTACATTGCTTTCTCCCAGTCATTGTAACATGTAACAGTATGTATTTAGTGTTCTCGATGGTGTGAAATCGTATAGTACAATTTCCTAGTAGATAAGTTCAGCTGCAGTGGTAAAGTTTCAAAGAATCTTGATGACTTCATAAACTTATGGTAATTTTCTTCAATAAATGAATTATTTTCTCAATAAAATTAACTCTTTAAT